TGTGACTTTTTTTTACATGGAAATGATTTTTTAAGATTGACAAACATCATATGTGTAATTCGTGGCACAATTCAAACGGGATCGAAAGATAATCTTTCTCTCTCCATTGACTTCAATGCATACTTTTTCAGAAATAAGGTCCCATGGGGCGGAAGTAGATGGGCGTGACTTCGCCACTCACTTGATTTTTGTATTCTGATTACGTAACGCTGTTACATGTATTCCGTTACAACCGATCATGTACATTCCGTTACAATGGTTACAACCAGGCCCGGACTGGCCATCGGGAGGACCGGGAGGTTTCCCGATGGCTTGGCCTGTTAAGTGGCCTGCTGGCCTGAGGATTTTTTTTTAAATGTATGTATTGTGAACGCAACGCTGCGCAAATGTGGGTCTGACTCTGCCTCACAGAGGGTGACTGGCTGTATACATAATGTGGCCTGCCGACATGGCCACTTTCATACAGATCATACTAATGCCCTCGATTGGTCTGTGTGTCATTCAAGTTCGGGAGGGTGTGTGTTAGTGTGGCGCGATAAAGTGTGCGCACCGGTTACGTGTATTGTTGTTAGCATCTGGTGCTAGCTAGCTGCGCTAATGGATATAAGGAGCTTTTTCAACAACAAGGTGGAGGAGAGTCCTCTCCTGTCAGACTGAGAGACTGATAACTACAGCTCAGGTGAGGTAAAGGACTCTGAGTGTTTAGATAGTTAACTTAGTCTAAGTTATCTCTGTGGGTCTCAAAGGGTTTGGTCACCATTTATGTAAACACATATTTCCATTTGAGGGGGGAGTGATTGGTAAAATATGCATGAATAATACAAACAAAATGTTAACTAGGTGAAAAAATGTAAGATAAACTTGTTGAGAGCTAAAACTAGTCTTTGCTGCTGCCTCAAAGAGGAGCAGGGGGAGACGGGTGAGGTTGGTTCAGGAGCACAGACACACTCACAACTATAAATGAACCAAAAACAAATAAATAAACAAGTTTCAATGTTTTTTCATATTGGATATGGTATGTTATTGGTTATGGCCATGTTTTTATGATTATTTAAATGTATACAGTTCTGTTTCATATGGGTGTAGTCTCTTTATTTCCCCCTCAAAATGCACCAGATTGATGCATTTAAGTCCAACATTTTTAAAAAATCTTTCCGGGGGAGCATGCCACCGGACCCCCCTATAGGATTTGAGGTCCACCTCCACTTAAAATATGTTCACATAGATTAAATAGATTTGCACATTTTTTTAAATAGTAACCCATGTCCATATGTTTATTTTTGGGTAGTAGATTTAGAGGGCTATCACTATGGGCAGCAACGCTGTAAAAATTGACAAATAAAACTGGTAGTGGCCTGGCTGGGTGTATAATTCCCGGCCTGACTTATTGTCCCAGTCCGGCCCTGGTTACAACCCAGACCTGTGTATATCTCTCCGGACTGTCCACCAGCAGATGAAAAACACCCACCTCTCCGCCTCTTCCAAGGGACGAGGGAACCGTGCGGCAGAGTTTCCGTTACATTTTTTTCTTCTTCTGACAGTCCAGCAGCAGGAGAGGTGGGGAGAGGGAGGCTGATTGATTGATTGAAAAGTTTATTAACAGCTTGTATATTGGGTACAGTACAGTACAGCTCAAAACATACAATTGTTAAGGGGATGCAGACCAGAGAAAGACTTTCGTCTTGTTTACACCAGGGTCCCCCATTTCCAATTCATCATATCATTTAAGACATATAAGACATATTTGACATACAGATGGCTTATTTACAATTTACATACAGGTGGTTTTTTTACATACAGATTGCTTATTTACAATTTTCATTTTAGATTTCGTTCTAATACATCCTAACCGGACATTTAAGACATACCAAGTCTACAGATATACAGTTAGTAACAGAGTCTAAAATGCGAGTATATACATAGATGGGGGGGGGGGGGAAGCTGTCCATTGAACGACAGGTTGAGATTTGTACCATTACCGTGGCCAGTTTTGCAATGCTCTCCCCCGAAGGTGCTCTTTAAGAGAGGTTTTGAAGGTAAGTATAGTTTTACTTTCCTTTACAGTTGTGGGAAGAGCGTTCCACCTTGATGTGGCATAATTGCGAAACGTGTATTCCCCCTTTTTTGTGCCAAATCTGGGTTTCACATGATTTGTGGAGCTCCCTCTGGTGTTATGATCATGGTATTCCTTGACCTTTGGGAAGAATTTTGACATGTACATGGGTACCATAGAGGTGTAGTGGATCTTGTAGACCAGGCCCATTGCAAGTAGCTGTACTCTGTCGTCTACTCTAAGCCATCCTAGGTTGTCAAAGTGGGCAGAGGTGAGGTGGGTTCTAGATGAGAGGTCAAGCAGTAGTCTGACCAGTTTATTTTGCGATGTTTGAAGTTTTATTTTTAGCGCCTTGGAGGTGCTATGGTACCATGATGTGCAAGCATAGTCATAGTACCCTGGAATGAGTGCTCCTGCCAGAGTTTTCAGGGTGTTTTTGTTTACCAGAGAGGAGATCCGGTATAGGAATCTAGTTCTTTGATTGACTTTTTTTATTACATTGGATGCCATTTTGTCACAGGAGAGGTTTGCCTCAAGAATAGATCCTAGGTATGTAATTTCCTTCTTACTTGTGACAATAATGTCGCCCACTGCAACTGAGAAGTCGTCGGATTTGCTGAGATTATGTTTCGAACCGAAGAGAATGGACTCTGTTTTACCCAGGTGTAATGATCATTTATTATCGGCGAGCCAGGTGCAGATTCTGCCGAGCTCGGAGCTGAGGGTTTTTTCAACCTGCAACCTGTTCCTGTCAGAGACCAGCAGGGCTGAGTCGTCCGCGAACAGGAACAAGTTGCAGTCACATGCTGATGACATGTCATTTACATAAATTAGGAACAGTAACGGACCTAATATGCTTCCTTGTGGAACACCACAGCTCACTGGGAGGGGGGGGGGACAGAGTACCGTTTACCTCCACCATCTGTTCTCTCCCCTCCAGGTAGGATTGCATCCAGCTCACCGATAGTTTATCAAAACCAATTGCTTTTAGCTTGTCAATCAGAATGGGGTGATTGACAGTGTCGAAAGCCTTTTGTAGGTCCAGCATCACCATGCCGCAGTACTTGCCCTCGTCCACCTCTTGTTTGATGTGGTCGCTCAAATAAAGAAGGCATGTGTCAGTGGAGTGGGATGTTCTAAAGCCAGATTGAAATTCATAGATTAGTTTCTTTTCCGAGAGGTACTTTTCGACCTGTTCATATACTATTTTTTCCATGACTTTCGAGATGGAGGTAAGTATAGAAACAGGGCGGTAGTTGCCTGGGTCCAATTTGCTGCCCTTTTTGTGCAGGGGGGTTACTCTTGCAATTTTGAAGTCTTTGGGTACTTTTCCCTGTTTTATGGAGAGGTTAATTATGTGAGCTATGACTGGTGAGATGGCGGTTGCTGAGTCTCTGAGGAATTTGGAGGGGATATTGTCGTGGCCAGTGGCCTTGTTAGGTTGGAGGGCGCTCAGTTTAATGAGTACCTCTGCTGTTGTTACCCTTGCTAGACTGAAATCATCTTTGCGTACCCCTAGGTTTTTGTAGTAGGTCATGATGTGATCTACTCCAAAAAGCCCTGAGTGGGAGGGTAATTTATTTACAAGAGTTGTGGCTATGTTTGTGAAAAAAATGTTCAAGTACTTGGCCACATCCAGTTTGTCTGTGATGAGCCTGTTATCTGTCTTTACGTTTAAGTTAGAAAATCTCGTTTTGAGTTTTTTACTGCAGCCAAGCTGGTTATTGAGTAATTTCCAAAGTTCACGGGGTTTATTTTTGTTTTCCTCAGTTTTGACATTGATGAAATTCTTTTTGGCAGTTTTGATCATGGAGCTTACGTCATTTCTTAGTCTGTTTCTTTCAATTTTGAGTTCAGTCACGTGGGCCTGGAGTTCACTGCTCGTGCTTTTGGAAAGCATTGACTGACTTTTATGAAACTCAGAGCATTTTTTGTCTCTGGTTTTCATGGCGGTCAGTATGCCGGAGTGCATCCACGGCTCAGCGCGATTTTTTACCCTGGTTGTTCTTAGGGGGGCCAAATCATTGAGTATTGCAGAGAATTTGTTTTTTAAACCAAGCCATGTTTCTTCAACTTGTGTACCACTGAGCTCATCTGACCAGTCCAGGCTCTCCAGTTCTAGGTTAAAGGCCTCGCTAGAGTAGTTTTTGAGGTCTCTAGATATGACTGTTTTGTGACAGCCGGCCCTTTGTTTTAGCTTTTTGCGGGTACAGAATATCATATAATGATCACTTAAACCGCATGCTATAACCCCTTTACTGGAGATCCTGGGCTATTTCATCGTTATCAGAAAATGATCGTATAGATCGCTGCTAGATGAGGGCAGTGGGGGCTCTTCTTGGAGTCTGGCTTTTTAAAAAAACAAAACAAAGTTTATTAGTAAACTTTGAGCCATAATTTATTTTGCAGGCAGCTCTCTGCCTCTCTCACGTTATTATGGCGCGCGCCGGAACCAACAATCAGTTTTTACCGTAAATGAGTTCGGTTCAGAGGACAAAACACATACAACATGAATTAAACTCGATTTTTTTGTTCACTTGAATTTAATTTTGAATTCTTGGATATTCTCAATGGGTGAATACATTTTTTTATAATAATAATAAAATAATTAAAAATGTAAAAAAAAATTAAAAGACACCGAAGCTTTCTCAGGGTGGGCTAATGAGTAAACTGGGTGGGCCTGGGCCCTATGGTGGCTATGCCACTGAGTACATCACCAGGACGGAACTACCATCCATGGAGGATCTTAACTCCCAGCGGCTCAGGAAGAAAGCCCTCAAGATCACAAAAGACCCCCATCACCCCAGCCACAAACAGTACCGCCGCATCAGGTCTAAAACCACCAGACTCAGACAGTTTCATTCCACTGGCCATAAGACTGTTAAACACCTGAACTCTTGAAACAACATCCAGAACATTCATCTGTTTGCAACTTACTAATTATTTATCTAATATATCATATTCCAATTACTTGAATATAGACTCTTCTTCTTCTGTTTTATTGTGTTGCACTGTTGGAGGAGCCTGTGACCTAAGTTTCTCATTGACAAATCTTTAGCTATTTACAAATGCCAATAAAAGCCATGAATCTTGAATCTAATTCCCCATCTTTGTCATCTCTTATACTATAGCATTTAAAGTGACAACATCCACACAGCTGTGTGCTTGACATGCTTGATAGTCCCCCGAATACGGTGACTTATTGGGTCGTTAACTTATACTATCGTCTATGATTTTTCTAAGTAATGCACGTAACATGAAACATCTGTGTGTACGGCTTGTTGCATACACAATGATACAACACCATTGAAGATGTTTTTTTGTTGTTTTTTGAGTATTCCTATTGTGACGACCCCTGCCTTGTTATCTCTGGTGTGTGTATGTTCCTTTAAGGTTTTCCCTTTGGTCTATCAGCTGGGATTGAGGACACCTGGCGACTGGAGCTAGCCGGATAAAGGACCGGGCCGGATCTCGCTCTCTCGCTCTCTCTGGCAGGAGGACGCAGCGCGAAGAGCAGCCACGACCAGCTGACCTCTTGTTTCGTAGTTTGTTTCGCCTGTTTGTGTCCTTCAGCAGCAGTGAATAAACTCTTGTTTCCTATTCACGCCCTCGTGTTCTGTCTCGTTTGTTGTGGCTGAGAGCCAAGCCATGACAGCTGGGGGCTCGTCCACTTCTTTTTATCTGTGATACAGCAACGGATAGGTGAGCTTTATGTGGGTTGGTTGGTGCGTTGCATGTGGAGCAGTGCGGAACGGTGCGGAGTTGTCCCTGGCAGGTTAAGCGGCGGTTCCCTTGGGATCGTTGAGCGGGGTGTGTAGTGTTGCGGAGAAAGTGGTTGAAGCCTTGGCTAGGGAGCATGGCCGTGGTCTCAGTAGTGTTGCTAGCTTGCTAGTCGCTTTGCTGGATTAGTGGTCTCCAGTGCATAAATACCCACCACAAGTAACTGCTACAACTGAGGAAGCATGGGCCGTGACGGTAATGTATTGTCTGTCATACTGTTTAATAAATCGTTCTCGCTCTGCCCATCCTTTTAAAGTGTGCTTCTCAGGTTGCTTACCTGTGTTGCTAAAGATGTGGCTGGGTGTGGGAGGAGCGGCTGGCAGTGTGAGGGTTGTATGTTGCAATTGTTGGTTTTGTTGGAAGTGGGGTTCCGTATGTCTGGTATTTTTGTTGTTCATTACTGGTGTTTTTTTTGTTTTGTCAGGGTTGGTGTGCCGGTGGTCCTGGGGACACCGACTTTAAGGGGGGGGGGGGTGTGACGACCCCTGCCTTGTTATCTCTGGTGTGTGTACGGCTTGTTGCATACACAATGATACAACACCATTGAAGATGTTTTTTTGTTGTTTTTTGAGTATTCCTATTGTGACGACCCCTGCCTTGTTATCTCTGGTGTGTGTATGTTCCTTTAAGGTTTTCCCTTTGGTCTATCAGCTGGGATTGAGGACACCTGGCGGCTGGAGCTAGCCGGATAAAGGACCGGGCCGGATCTCGCTCTCGCTCTCTCTCTGGCAGGAGGACGCAGCCACGACCAGCTGACCTCTTGTTTCGTAGTTTGTTTCGCCTGTTTGTGTCCTTCAGCAGCAGTGAATAAACTCTTGTTTCCTATTCACGCCCTCGTGTTCTGTCGCGTTTGTTGTGGCTGAGAGCCATGACACTATGGAACACAATGTATGTTTTTTAGAGTCACCTTCACACAGTGTATAATTGTCTTCTCGCTGTCTTTCTAATTAACTTGTTGAATTTAAAGAATGACAAAAATCTGTCTCTCTTAGTAACTTATTTTTTCCAGGGATAGATATAATTGATTGAACCCAATAATTATAAAGAGCACGGAGGTAATACATCCTAGGATTTTAGGTCAGAAGTGATTTTCTTTATCACAGGGAAATGGGCACTTATTTCTGGGCACCCACCCAAAGAGGAGCATGACTAAGATTTAAACTGGACTGTAAATTATTGGTAAAAGCATACAGTGGTAAATCTTGGTAATAATTTCTTGAAATGTCAATATTTTTTGTCAGTGTTTGCATCATTGCTAATGGAGTTTAATACTAAAAACTATTGTCTGCTGTAATGAGTTATTTACTTCAGTATTCTTTTAATTCTTAACAGGGCCAATATGTATGACACCATCCCAAAGTCAAGCAACAAGAGCAGAGCTACCCATTCTCATTAAGGAACATTCATTCCTTTCCCTCGATATATATTGGGTGTTTCATTGAGTAGCATCTGTAGTTATTTTTTAATTATAAATGAAATATTTTAAAACTTTACCACTATTCAGACATCAACAATGACATACATTAACATCTGGGTACCAAATTCAGAATCAAAGTGTATGTAAAAGGCAAACACTGGAAGATTCATAGTTTCAATGGAACTCCAAGATTTTTACTTTTTCTTTAGTTTAATACTCTTGTTTTTGATCCAACTTTAATAGGCAGTCCAGTCACATAAACTTAATAAAGCTCACAATGTGGAGTTCTGACACAGTTGATCAGTTTCTGTGGGCCAGCTATCCTGTTCAGTGTTGTCCCTTTATCAGGGTTGCCAACTTTGGGTACCTGGCTGGAGTGAGATTTTGGTATCATGGGTTTGATTACACATATGCGCACGAAATGACTGCTATCGTGTCAGTAGCGGGACCTTAGGATATATATACAATATATACTGTACAAATACACAATATTGGACACAGACTATAAAGTCGTATTCATTCACTAATGAAAGTCAAACACATGTTTGTTTCCACTGTTTTATTGTGTGCATAGGCCAATTAATTGACTTATCGTACAATAAATAAAAATGAACTCGATAAATTGCCATTTACATGAGGATGTGACTAGCAGTTTGAAAGGATGTACTTGAATTATTATTATATATTATCATTATGTCAGTGGTCTAAAATGGTCATACAGCGATGCCGACAATATTATCGTTTATCGCAATAATTTCCGGGAAAATCTATCCAACAAAATTAATTATCGTGAGAGGCCTATACATGAAACACACACACACACACACACACACACACACACACACACACACACACACACACACACACACACACACACACACACACACACACACACACACACACACACACACACACACAAATCTACAGACTTACTCCAAACTGCCAAATATATTAATTAACACACTCTCACTCTCATACTCTTTGACTCTATTTTGGCCTAGTAGAACAATAAGCAGCAGACTTTTACTTTTTATCATTTCTACTGGATCTTAGATCGGCGCATGCGCAATACGGGTCGGCAGTGGCGGCTCCGGAGTATTTGTGTTGGGTAATCTATGGTAGGGCTAACCCAGTGGTTCTCAAAGTGGGGGGCGCGACCCCCCTGGGGGGCGCAGAGGCATGCCAGGGGGGGCGCAAGAGACCAGGAGGAAAAATGGCTATAAAAAAAAAAAAGATAAAAAATAAATAAATCAGAAATTGAAAAATTATTGATTCGAAAATAATATGATGCAGTACTATTACGTCTGGGTCTCTGTGTTTCAATAAAGCTCGGCTATGTGTGTGTGTGTGCGCGAGCGAGAGAGAGAGAACGCACCGGTACCGGAGATCGTTGTTGTTAGCTTCTGGTGCTAGCGAGCTACGCTAACGGATATAAGGAGTCTTTTCAACAACAAAGTGGAGGAGAGTCCTCTCCTGTCAGACTGAGAGACTCAGTGAACTAAATAACTCTCTCAGTGTTATCTCAGTGGGTCTCAAAAGTTTTGGTCACCATTAATGCAAACAATTATTTCCGAGGCACACGTTTATAATGATCATTATAGTTATAAAAAAACAAGAGAATAAATGAAAAACAGGTATGAAATACTATATGACAGTAAAACAAGAATAAAGTTTAAAAGGGTGATTTGTAAAATATCCATAAAGAAAAAGTAAATCTGTTTACAGTTCTGTTTCAAATGGGTGTTGAAAGAGGTATCCATAGATCTCTCCATTTTGCTCTCAAAGTGCACCAGATTGATGCTTTTAACTTCAATATTTAAAAATAAATCTTCCCGGGGGAGCTTGCCCCCGGACCCCCCTATGTGAGGTCCACACACCACCTATAAAATAGCACTTTGCCCCTGCTTACACCTATATGCCTCGAGCCTTCATTGTAACTGTCACACTGTGTATATGTGTGGGGAGTGTTGCAGTAGAACATTCCACTGTAGCGTCCGGTACATTAATGGGAAACCCTAAATGTTTGAGCACCCTCTATGAAACGTCAAGCTACCCCACAGCACCCCAAAATAAATATCTGGCGCCGCCACATCAGCCTGACTATTTGTGTTGGGGGGGCCCGACTTATTTTGTTCTCCAAAGGGGGGGCCTGACAGAAAAAGTTTGAGAACCACTGGGCTAACCCATACAGTGGTGGGGCTCAAGTCAGTATTTGCAATGTAATTACACACTCCCATTGACAGTGAAACGCCACGCGTGAGGTTTAGATTATTTCCCTGTCTCAATCCAAATTGAACTGTATGAAATAAAAAGGCACATTTGTCTTGTAGTAAATAAAAAGGGCGACCTGGAGCCAATCCTGCAATTTCCCCACAGGTGAAAGAGTTGACATGCTGAAAACCCAACCCCTGAAGGGGGGTCTGGGGGGATTCTCCCCCAGGAGATTTTTTGAAATACTAACATAAAATACACATTCTGGTACTCTCTTGAGAAGAGAAATAAATAAATCTATTACTACACGACATATTTAAAAAAAATGAATGCCATTTTAGTGTTACTTTGTTCTGAAAGCTGAACCTGCTGCTCCTCACAGAGAAAACAGGGAAGAGGCTGTGTGAGTTACTTTACATTGTGGATAAGGGTGGATAGCCCCCATTGTTCTGTGTGTCAAAATGAACAGCCCACACACCTATCAATCATCAAACCGTGGGGTCTTATTTCATTACATGTTGATTTCTATCAACACGTAATGTTGTATCGATAGAGATGTACTACAGCAAAAGTATTCTCCGTCGGGACTTCCTGCAACAACACCACCACGCCGTTATCTTGATTCTGATTGGCCAGAAGACATTATCAAAGATGTTCTATTGAGAAGACGATCACTGCGTGACAACAGTTTTCAAAACCGTTTCTAGTCTTCGGTATTCTTGTTTTGGCGTGAGAATAGTTTGGGCAGCGTGAGAGCGTGAGATTGAGAGTGAAAGCGTGTGTCACACGCCAGATGCGTGAGAGTTGGCAACCCTGCCTTTATCCATTTTGTCAGGTGTTATCATGTTTTGCACACTGCTTTCTTTCTCAGGCTTAAAATTCTGCAATGTTGACTGTGTGATCAGATGTCTGTGTGTGATTTGTGTTAAATGTAGCACTCTCTGTACAATACCGTTTTCCGTTTCAAGCAATTATTTAATATATTTGTTAAATCAAAAGTGTCTTAACATGTCTTCTGAATCGCAATTTTATAAATAAATCTTGTATTCAATTATATACCGTGTAGTGGACAAACGGTTTTATAATCTGAGTCCCTCCAGTTTAAAGAAACAGCAAAAAAAGTGTTTAATTTTCGATAGGTCGGTAAAGTGTTGGCAACACGTGTCTGCTAGTTCTTTCTAGTTCTTATTATATATCCATGGTTCTTCCTCGCTCCCCTCGGCTCTATACTGCCCTCTAGTGTGGGAGTGTATTAGTGCAAGTTATAATGAAAAACTACCTGGTTGAGCATTTTTTGCAGTCTGTTAATATTATGTTAAGGTTAGATTGAGAGGCTGAAAAATTATTTGAACTTTATATAATTTCCCCAAAGACCCACAATGGTGTGGAGGCTTTGTAAACCTGACTTGAGTTGTTCTAATTAAAATAGATTTACAGGTGACCACAGCAGCTTACACTTACGAGCGGTCTACAACTCTGTAAAACATATTCATGATCAAGGTTAGATTCCTTTCCCAGGTGGAAAAATCCGAGCCTACAGATCTCCCTCCACGATCTTTCTGGCTCTTACGTTCCTTCTGGGTGATTATTCAACGAGACTGTGGAACACCCTGTCTCAGAAACTTCAGCTAGCTAATTCATTATCACATTTTCCTCATAAACACACTTTAATGGACTTGCCTTTATATGTTTCCATCTTATGTTCTTGGGTTGCTTGTTGTTTTCTTTCAATATCTCATATATTTATGCCCTTTTTTATACTTTACTGTTTTTCTTTTTATGCCTTTCACTTTGGAAAATCTGCTTTTAGATGCTTGCCATATAAATAAAGACATTATTATTACCATCATCATAAAATGTAAAGCTGTGGAAGTAAAAGCTTGGCTTTATTCCTGGTGCCCAGAGTAACTGCAACACATTCTGGAAATGTTCTGCTTTACAAATCTCTTCATCTCCTCCCTATAAACAACCATATGCATTTTACAGATGTAATGCTACTTACTGGGACATCATTACCATGACTGCTTTTGAGGAGATGGAGTGACCTCCCTAGAATAAGTTATTAACCTAGTTGGTGATTTGGGAATCACAATGCAACTATTTTTTTTAGCTTGCAAGTAATTTTTTCTTCAACAACCTTTTAAAATGTGTCTGTATGCTACCTTATGTTGATAAAAAATGCTTTGCTTTGCACAAACTGCA